CATTACTTCGCACAAGTGTAATTCATACCATATTTTGACCCCGATACTACCGGCTAACACTAACCTGGACTAACCATATGGGGCCCCAGACTGCCATTCCTTTGAGAATTATTCCTGGCACACATGGCATGTTCAAGAGCAAATCTCATAACAATGCGTTAGTTGTGACACCAAGAAAAAGAACACCTAACACAATTATTGCAAGACCAATGCACTTATTGTTTTAAACTTACAACAATATCAAAGGAGATACTGCCAACACATGCAGAGCTGGCAGAATTCTAAATTGCTAGGAAAAAATCGAATAGGCAGCCTGTTTGGGGAACAAACTCATCGGTATACCATCCAGGACTTCTGAACACGGTATAAAATTTGTTGAATTAACATGAAGAAATACAATGCCTGTTTTAACACATGTCACTAATTCTACTTACATATAAGGGTTTGAAGCATGGCGGCACAATGGGGAGGGGCGTTGGGGGGGGGGGGGGTTGGAGTATATTTAATTATGAGGAGGTGGTCGAATTTGAAACACGCAATGACCATGTCGCAAAATCCATGCAATCTGGAAGATTTCATTTAATATGGATTGCTATTAGGTTTACAAGCAGAGGGTTTCTTTCTTGTCTTTTTTTCTTTCTTTTTTTGCTAAGTTTTATTACAGGAAGGCGCATGCCACACCTGTTTGTTAGGCCAAAATCATCGTAGACATCTCAAGGCACTATGCAGTTTTCTTTTTCTTCTTTCAAAATTTGGGATGCTGTTGCAAGATTGAGCGCTATATAAATATAATACATTTCTACACAATCTTAAGCACGTTAGAATCGAATGGTTTGGTGATGAATCAAATAAGTTCGAATAATGCAAGACAGGGTTAATTAATAAGCATTTACAAAGTGGTAGGGTTTTGAGATGTTTTGTCTTTTGTAAGGTTTTAATGATGTCATCTGCCGTAAATTGCCGCCTTGTATCGTGTTGTTAAGTGGTTGTTAAGTGGGATTATCGTCTGCCATCGTGTTTGGTGAGATATTCGTAAGTGTGACTTATACATGTATGTGATCGTATCCAATATCGGTACCAAGGCATTTAAGACAAAAATAAAAAAAAAGGTAGAAGTCCCTTGTCAATTCAAGCATTACAGTTCTTGGACGCTGTGAAATTCTAAAGAAATATCCACTAATGCATAAAACACATATCAATCTGATATTCGAAACAATTCAACTACTAGGCGCGAACATAACGCGCCAAAGAAAAAAGAATTCTAAAACTTTTGTTCACAGGTTACTAACGTTTTTAAACTGTGTTTGAGAATAGTTACACTAAAAACATATACAGCTTATGTCACGTGATTGCCGAATCATGACAGAGAGACAGACTTCACACTCAGCAGGTAAGCTGGCATAATCATATCACTATATATTGGCGAATAGTGACATTTGCCCGTGTCTTTCCGCATACCTTCGTTACTTTCCGCAAATGTTCGGCAATGTCTACACAGTGGTGTATCATAGTGAGCTTTGTCACCACAAAGTTCTCTCAATGGAACAATTTACGGCCCGTCTTACTGAACTTAGTTTATCTTCCTTACTTTTCTAGTGACATCGCCAAACGTCGCGTGCCATCGTTCAAATCTGTTTATCACCGTATGTCAGCATGTACATCTAATGAATTGACATGCAGTATCACATGCTGCTGTAGAGGTGCATACATGGAGCGCGTGCGCAAACGCGTGCTGCCACTGAGCACGTGCGTTAAAAGTGCCCTCCGTGCCATACAGTCAGTCCATTCTCTTCACCAAGATCATCACGTGATATGCACGTGACTGTCGCAGACGTATCACGTGTTTGAGAATTCTTTAGACGAATTTTTTTTTTGAAAGTCAAATGGTTATCAGATGGTTCGGTGCCACCATACTGGGATTTAGAATTTCTTGTGGGCAAACTTTCCAACGCAAACGACAAGTTCAGATTTTTTTAAAAATCTGCTGCCAACTTCGGTCTGCACAACAGTTACAGTCCTACCACTATCGTCTTCACGTGTTAACCGCAACCAAGCTGTTGACAGCATTCGAACTTGACGAAGGCGAGGGACGCTGTGACGTCACTGGTTTATATGGGGCTGTTGGTGTTGATTGGCCAGACGATGTCCTCTGTGATGCTCCTGATTTGTGGTCCTGGTCGGCCGGTAGGGGATGGACTAGGCAAGACAAGACAAACAAAATTTATCGTTGATGACTAAACAAGTGAGCTACTCTGACATGCTGGAAACCAAATCCTGTTCACATATACGTTCTTGCTTTGTCTTAAATCAGTGAATGAGGCACATGCCTCTCAGGATATTGTCAGCGCCGTGGAACATAATAAAACACGATCCTGTGTCTGATTACTGATTTGTTTGTCCGCACAAAGTGTAAATCAGGGGGTGAGGGTTACTGTACCCGGTATATGCACCATAAGTATGACTTTGGTTTAAAAGCAGTTGAATAAAGCGATGTCACTGCAATCTATAAAAGTGGAATGTTTTTGATATTTTCCCATACATCTTGCCTTATGGAATCAATACGTTCAAAAGTAAGATCAAAGATCTTTCGCATTTACACATTCGATCTAATCTATTCGAATTTAATTTTGGAAATGAATATGCTTGACTGACTGGACTTGAAATTATTTCTTACTAGCAAATATAAAATAGTGCAAAATATTTTGTCTGATAAAGAATACCAACCCACTTATGCTACTCCGTCCAGCGTCTCTGTAATCGGAAGTCGACAAACTATGATTAATTTAACACTTAGAACAATTTTAATTGATATATGTGCCTGCTTTCCATGAATGCAAGTGTGTGTGTGTATTTGCATGTGTTAGTGTTTGTGTGTATGTATGTGAGTGTGCGTGTAGTGTCAGCGTGGGGTTCGGTTACCCTCTACCAGGGCGACAGATTGATTTTTCACAGATATTCACAGATATGTCTCTAGATAAATAGACAGTCATTTGGCTGGATTTTCCCGTTTTCCCTATATAATCTGCCACCCTGGTAGAGGGTAGAGTTCAGTATTGTATTTGATGCATACGTGTTCGAAAGGTAGCTGTATGTATGGCTGTGTGGCGCAGTTGAATGTGTTAGTTGCGACAGTGTGCAATTGTGTTGTGGAGCACATGACATAATCATCACTTAAAAGAAAATAAAATGGCACAGGATGACTTCACTAAGGTGGGACCTTACTTTGATTCAAACTAGAGTGCAGGCTCTTCCGATGGTTCATGCTTTCCGTGCTCCCACGTGGACCCGAGGCATCGTTCAAGGTCACTGTAGTGCCCGGATATGATGGAGGACCCGGATGTGGTATGAAACCACTTCCAGGTCCGTTGTTTTGATGCAATGTGCTAGATGCGCCATCTAAAAAACGGAAATCGAATTAAAAGAAAAAGAGGAATTCTATAATATAAATTAATACATTCATGTTTGGTCAAAATAAGAACACCACTTCGGATTGAAAATACATACATTTATGTTATAAATAATTCCTGTAACAGAACAAAAGTATACCACACAAAATGTAAATGAATGCTACTCCAAACACGGCCATTCCCCAGTGCATTGAGTGTGAGTTAAAGTAATTGCGTTAGTTGCGACACCTAGAATGTGAAATGTGCATTGTGCCGGTAGAGGAGTTGCTATAATTGAACATGTCACAGGTGCAGTACGACATTCAAACTATACCAATCAAGACAAAGGGGAACTGCGTTGTTAGAGCGTTACACTACTAGGTAAAACACACTAGTCTAGCCTTATCCAGCTGTGTGCACAATTTAAAGTGACAGCAGGATGTAACAGTATACTAACCGCAAACTTTATTAAGTTTTTAGCAAGGTGGCAGAAGTGACATTATATAAGGTACATCAATATATATGTACCTTTATGTGGTTGTATAACAGCCAGGGTTCATAATACGATTGGGGAGAGTTTCCTATATAGATGATGGAACTATAAATATGGTTTTGAATTTGAATTTGGTATAGAAAGTATCTATACGTGTGTGTGTGTGTGTGTGTGTGTGTCAGGGCGCGTGTGAATACACACACGCTGGCAGGTATAAACTATATTATAAAGGTGGGGGAAAAGCAAACTGTTTTGATTTCACCCTTGAACATACAGTACAGTACGTGAGGCACTACGGGATTTTTTTTGGATGTTTATATAGATTCATATCGATAGGCCTACTTCATCTTAGAAGAGAAGGAGGATCCGCCATTTCGATTTTCAAAGTCTGTGTGCGTGTAACTGGACACGTGCGCGTGTGAGTGAACGCGTGACAGTATTGGGTTTGTTTTGGCACAATTGTGTTATGGGAATATTGTGTTTGTTGTACCTAATTGTAAGTTATGGAGGCATGCATTGTAATAAACTTGCTTACGCATTAAATTTAAAGCAGCACAGATTATTGGCAGCCTTAGCATTGATATAACACATTAATTGCATTAATGGGAATTGCCGTGCATAAGCGACACTCCCCCACCACCAGTTTAGTTGCTACTGAATTTGAAAATACCCCGCACAACATTTCAATGTTTTTGGTTCAAATTGGTTTTGGCTTCTTCGGCAAAAAAATGTGTAGTGATTTTGAACCCTTTCCACGAAACAAGTAAAAGAGAGGTAGTCGGCGTTTGGAGAAATAAGAAGTAATTAAGGTAAATGTTTCTAGTGTCCATCTTTTTCTATTACAACGAATTAAATAAAGATGAAACTATGTAAAGAAAAAGAATGATTTATGTATCTTTTCAATATCTCATAATTACATACCGCTCGGTAAAGAAAACGGCGGCGGTGCATTTTTGATTTCGGTAACTTTTAATGGTGTTCCCGGGTTAGAACTAATTTCAACATGGCGGGGAATTGCTTTCTCGGCTGCTGCCGTGGGCAAGTGTTGTCCCCCTGGGGGACGTGTACGGGGGACATCTTCCTTCTCAGAGTGGTTAAACATCAACATAGGAATCGACTCTTCGTTAGTCCCTGGAGGAGGAAAGAAAAAGACACAAAAGTTCAAGGTCATGTTCAAGGTCAAGCGTCAAACATTGTTACAGTTGCTAAGTAATTCATGCGCATGCGTCTTTCTGTACGCTTAATAAAAAGACAACATGCCCCTTACGTCATAGTTCAATATGATTTAGTATTGATACGTCGCATGCAAGAAGCTACCGCATCGTATGAACAAAAAATTCGCACCAAGAGAAGGCTGTGAGCCAATACCCTCGAGAATCTAATGTTTTAAAGCACAGGCTTTTATGAGATATTTGGATATGCTGCTTAATTTTCAAATGATTCTTTTATGCCAAATCATTTGGTTCAAACCTTTTTTTCATACGATTCATGGATAATATTACCAACGTTCTAAATAGCAAACAAGCACATAATGCAAATAACTCATGTATAGTACATCATCATCATTTGTCCATTTCTTACTATATTCATCATCTAATACATATATATTTCAAGTTATAGAACGCTTTAACCATTCTAGATCGAATTTTGTTTTGTAAAGATAAGATAAAAACGATGTTAATATCAACAGTTTAAAAAGAACTCATGCTAAGATAAACCATTTTACTTTGACATACATTTGTCCATGTGGATAGCAACAGTACATATTTATTTTATATTGATCTCCACCAGAGTAAGTCCTCTATTAAAACGAAACACGAAAAAAATCTATATCGTCAATAAAAATCAGAAACAATTTTTCAGCTATAAAACAGCATCCGCATCTATATTTTCAAATCTAGAATAACCTGAAAAAAATGCACGTCTAATTTAACTTCAAATAGTAGGCCTACATATTATTAAACAGAAAATTGTCAAATATGAATGACAGTGTGCTTGTTAGTTTCTATGGCAACAGTTAGTAAAAATATAACAACATTCGGAGTCCTATCACTTCCGGGTGCTACCCGGAGGTAGCATACCATGCAGAGAACCGTACAGAACAATAATTTCTTACGTGGAAATTGGATGATGCTTCAGTTCGTGGAGTCCTAATATGGCATGTTTATATAGGACTTACTTGATGCACATATGTACATAAGCATATATGTACTTTTAAAATATATATAAAATCATATTCGTAAATTTACATATATATAACAAAAGCACTTGGAATGTTATACCCTCTGAAAAAGATCCGAAAAGAAATATTTGACTCCTGCATAGGAGTTAGTTCAAACCGACACTTATGACGAGACAGCAAATGTTTTGATTTATCCAGTAGCCAGATATCATATGAGAAAAAGATAAATCTAACAAACGTTGGGTCGTTGTTGCTATGTACGCCCAGTATTAGTTTTATCTTTTTCACATACGAGGCACATCTATTGTTTTTAAACGTGTGTCAGTGAGTTATAGGTTATTTGTGTCGATAAGTTTGTTATCTTTTACACATAATCCTTACATTAATTGTGTTAGGTGTGACATTGTTGAGTGTAGCACGAATCACACGAAAGACAATTTTATCGAGAGTGGTTGTGTTAGGTGTGGCAGATCAAATTGTGTTCCATGGCTGTGACAGAAAGTGTGCTTTATGGCTGAGACAGGAATTGTGTTAGATGTGACTGTCTGAATGTGTTGGTAGTGACAGTAATTGTGTTAGAGGTTAAAAAGTTTTAACGTGGTTGTGATATAGATGTGTAGCTTGCAGCTGTTGTACGAAGCCAAACACCTTTTTGAAAAGAAAAAAAAAAGAAAAAAAACCAACTAGCACACGAACTACTTAAATGAACACCTCATGCATCCAGATGGTTAAGGCCGCATAAATACGCAGAGACACTTAAATATATGCAATCCAGTTTACACTCAGCAAGCGCGACATTTACATAAAACCTTTACACACATAACGAGCGTGTTGTTATATGTGAGCGCAGGGAACATATCGTTGTAATATCAGAGTATATTATTCCAGTTGTATGAATTATTAGGGAGGGACTTGAATGAAGGATCACGTTGTAATTATGGTACGAATCACTTACATGCAGTTAATTACATAGGTCCAACAGTAGACTTCACAAAACTAAAATCATCTTTTATCTCGGGCAAATCTTGGGGATTTTTTTTTTACCTCAGTTTTGGCTGAAACTTGAGAACATTAACCAGTACAAATTTTGGCGCAGTTCGAACAGATATTCTACCCCCAGAGTAATGCGAGGTCTACTGCAAATGTTTGGATACTGTTTTAAGAGGGTGCGTCAACACCCCCTCCATAAAGCCGATAAGGTATTCTAGAAGGAATGTTGGTAAAGGGAGATAGGGGGGGGGGTTACCCCCACCCTCCAATCCCGCCCTACAAGATCCCGAGAGACCGCAGATATGATAAATGAGGTTACCGTCAGTTTAAGTAGTACTATTAGACCCAGTTTGCTGAGGTGGGATTTCCAACCGTGCTATCGGGGGAGGGAGGGGGTAGCGGGGAAAGGGCCTATATCGAACGGAGGACTATAAAGAGGGTTATATCCCTCCCTGATTTACACGATATTGTATTTGGACGACAGTGGTGGGAAAAAGCAGGGCCCAAGAAATCAGTACAATCAAATATTATTTAGATCTTACATACATATTGAGTAGGGTTGGGCATAATGATATTTTCCGGATAGATCATATTGTGTTTGGTTCTGTGTTGTAAGTTGATATATTGACAACGCTTTTAATGCTTCGCTGAGTTTTCGTTTTTGGAGAACGTTCATGGCGTGTCACAAAATATGTCAGCATTGTTGTGTCATTGTGACGTCATTCAAGACTTGTCGTGTCAGGTGTATCGGCATTGTATTGGCGCCATTCAGGATATGTTGCATTGTTGTGTCTTTGTGACGTCATTCAAGAAGTGCTGTGTTAGAAGTGACGTGGTTTTGGATGCATTGTATTGGCGTTATATCATTTAAGATGTCTTAAGTTGATCTGCCATCAATTCCGATGTTGATATGTGCTGTGATACGTGTTTGTTTAGGAGTAGGAGCATTTTACAAATAGTCGCTTAGAACGGACATCGTGTCCGATGAGTTTTGCTGGTGTGCTGGGTTTTCGTGTTCGTTTTGTTGGCGTGGAAGCGTTTGAGGTGTATTGTGTTAGTAAGGCACCATACAGTAACAGACTGTGTATATCTGTGAGTGATAGGATAGGATTAGGTCGAGGGCCAGTTTTGTCATTTATGCATGTGGACGTATTTTGAGACCTGTTGGACGGGCGTGTATGCTCACTGTGCGATAATACAAATCTATGACTGCTTTTCTGTTTTTTCCCTTCACATAGAAAATACCTCAAGTATCTTTAACTGGAACACGCTTAAAGCACATACGTTACCTTTCTCAGAAAATCGGGTAGGAATTAAACCTGTTAAATCAAAGACACGTAAATAGACGTTACAAGTCATGCAACTGCAGTAGTAGTAGTAGTAGTAGTGCTAGTAGTAGCAGTGGTAGCGATAAATATATATATAGGAAAAAAGTGTTTGTTAGACATTGCACCACGGGATTAATGTGACGTCATGAGCAGTTATGAGGTCGTCACCAGCATATATGACGTCATCAGCAGACGTGACGTCACCAGCAAATGTGACGTCACCAGCAATATCTCACCGTGTACTTACATTGTGCTAACAATGGATAGTGGAGCGGTAACACTGTAGCCAAGTATAAATAAACATGTGCTTATGAAATTAATGCAACCGTTGAGTTGAAAAATTGTGAAATTACTCAATACTGACGTTACAGTTGTAGAATTAAAGCAGAGGTAAAATCATGGTACTATATCAAATGAACCAAAAACCATAACTTTACTTCATAATGATGTGCAAGAGGAATACAAGAAGAAATTGTAATTCTAAATAGATTTCATCTAAAGTAACTCTGAATATCTACTATGCAATGAAGAGTACTAAAGGGAATCTATTATATTGATGGCTACAGTCACTATATATTGTACTGATGGAAACTTAAGTTCTACATTATGGTAACTACATAACTATCATAATGACATATTGGAATGTATAGTCAAGACGAAAGGTGATGAACATAGACTGATAATGATTGGTTGATTGAAATTATCTACGGACCAAATGATATACAGCAAATGATTGGTTAACCTAGATGAAAAAATACGGTAATATAAAACAGCACATCTAATGTGGTAGAAAAAATAGAACTCAGAATAAGACAGGACAGGACATAATTTCACACTGATGATTTCAGACGAGACTTCTTTGACCTGATCGATGGAGAAATGGTTGAGAACGAGCTGTATGATTGCGAATACAGTCAGTAGAATTTTGACGTATGTAGTGCAGGTTGCCATTGGTAGCGCTTGTGTGTTTTTGTTTTGCTACTTCGCAGATATTTTGGGTGATGATCCTACACAAGAGTAGTCACTCCTTTTGTACCTTGAGGCGTGAAGATCACTTTACTTGCACATTAGTATCGTGGCGAAAAAGTAAGCTCTACTAGTAAGTGATATATACAGTCCAATGCAATCAAATAACACCACGGCGCACATGAACGGTGCAGAAATAGCTCTGTTGGTTCCGTTAAAGCAAAATTCGATTATTTTTGCGTGAGAGGCGCTGAACTTTGATAATTAGCGATCTACACGATGAACGAAACGTAATCAAAGGTCGTCGGAACCTCGCCAAGTTTTCATGCGTGAAACTGGTCATGCATCAATTTCACCTTCCAATACACGCTGAAACAAGTGCGTCGTGTTGCCATCGTTAAACGTCTGAGAATTTATGTGTAGGATATAGCAATTGATGATTGTTGGTAAATGATGGTTGAAATATTGCTACTTGTGTTCAAGGAAACATGATCTAAACTTCGCCAGTAGTATACATGTAAGATGGTTAACAACAATCATAACCGAATAAGAAATAAATACATTCTGCAATTCTGCTTGACCTGAAACTATCAACTTAATCAAATGAACCGTCTTCCATGAAGGACTGCCCTGCCATCTATCGGATGCTTGGTGACGTCATTTTAGAATAAAAAGGTAGGCATCATTTCTAGTGATTGAAAAACCATATCCAAAATAAGTCACCAATAAGAAGAAAATGTTACAAATTGGAGAAGTTACAAAAATCAGAAAAAAGAAATACTACAGGCAGTGACAATGACTGCGATTATTGATATTTTCTTAGAGGCACACGTGTGTAGAGAGTATGAACAATATCATGTAGGCTAGATTTACAAAGATGTACACACTTAACGTTAGAAAGTATAGCATACAACGACAAACGATAGCGTTACAATATTATTTACAGTGACGTTAAATGTAAGTTCCACGTAAAGTAGGATAATCATGAACACGTGTGCATGTTTGTGTGCATGTTTGTGTGCATGTTTGTGCGTGTGGACGCATGTTCTGTTATGGAATTATGAGCATAATGTGTTTGTGCGTGTGCACCTTTGTAGATGTGGATGCTCACAGAAAATGCAAAACCGGTGTTTGCCTCCCAATGTGTTTACCACTTAAACACGCATATTATCATGGTGCCGTTATTTAGCTCTACCATATTGCATTCTAATATATTTGTTGAAAAAATGTCACTGATTTACGATACAAAGCATTTTTCTCACCTTATAATGTTTGTTTCTTGGCTCAACACGTATTGCTACTAGCGTGAATACGAGACAATATTTACATATTGACAATATTCATATGACGACAGCGTGAATACTCTAATACTCTAATAAATGTATAACGACAATTCCTAGGAATATAAATGTAGAACGATGTCGATTGTGAATGTTTGAATGACGGCGTGTGAGGTCAAAGCAGGTCAAGGTCAATCAATGTCAAAGGTCAAGGACAAACATAAAAGGGAGCACATCTAGTCAGTAAAAATATCGCGTGACTTACTACGAAATGGCATCATCTCGGAAATGGCGCCACCTTGTGCTTGAAAAAGAAAAATAATGAGTGAAAGGTTAGAAACATGCAAAATTATAATGATTTCAACCTAGGTGCTTCATGCTCCTGCTACGTAAGCTTAAGTGACACTTCAAGCGGTATTTATGCTATGATAGTGACACACTAAACTTCATTCCATGCGCAATAACGTCTTCCACGTGTTGTGATGTCACTTAGTGCATAGTGACGTCACTCCCTACAAATCAGCGCTTCGATATACACAGACTGATGCCAAATGATGCAGTCTGGTAAAGTATTAGTTTATGCTGCGTGCACTGATGTCAAAGCATGCACTCTGATGTCACATCAGTTTTACTGACGTCAACCCATGCGGACTGACGTCGCACCATGGAAAGACAGACGTCATTAGAAGCGAATACAGCTGGAATATCAAGTGTGAGACAAGCTAGCAAGCCAAACACTATGCCATGCAATCTGACAATAAAACACAAAATTCATGCTGTACAGTACGCCATTCACATACGCATGCTTTATTCTGTGGTGGAATTTACATGCAGTGCACTCCCGAAACCGTTTCCCCAAAATGTGCCCAATCTTTAAATGTAAGAGCTGAATGCATTGGTCTTTTTCGACCACCCACTCGGACAAATAGAAGATCAAATGGACTGTCAGCATGCAAACACGAACAGTTCAATATCGTTACATCAGTTTGTGCGAATAGCTGTAAGTTGTGAACACGGTTGTCCGGCTAAACAACATAATGACAGATTCGTTTTTTTAATTTGTATCTTTTGTATACCACTTTTCTATGAAAATTTTATAATTAACCCTCCAGCGTCGTTCATTTACTCATGAACACCAGAAAACAATCTAACAGCCCCTTCAGTAATGACAAATGTCCACAAATATGAATAGACCAAAAAGCTAATCTCCTCCAAATTTAGGGTGGCCTCAACAATATGCAATGCAAGAATTCGTGCAATATAGTGATATCTTGTGGCATTCCTTTTCTTGCACTCGCATTAGCCCCTTTTGTTATGCATTTGGTCATGCTAAGATTAAAGATGAACTATGTAAATATGATAAATCTCACCCTGCTCATCTGAATTTGTTTGGTTGAGAAAAGCAACGTAAAAGAATTTAAAGGGGACAATGTTTAAATTGACGTAGATCAGATTTAGGTTATATAGGCTAATGTTGAAAAATCTGATTACATTAAAGGAGTCATATGTGACGTCAATGATATACGTATAATCTACAAGGAGATTGTCGGTAGGCAAATATCAGCAAAAAATAGGCCAGATTGATGACGTCAAATGACGACACCGTAAAATGTTTTAATTAGAAATTAGTGCAGAAAACGTCTTAACCATGACCGTGATTATATTTCAGTGAGAGTAAGTAAGTCGATTTTGGTGCTGAGAAAAAACCCGTAAAAGATAATCGTCGCCTACATGTTAATTTTCATTTCGATTGAAAAAAATTGCACCAAGTCAAATTATTCGTGGAAACCTACAAACTTTCAAACGGTATTAAATATGCACGTTAAGCTACATGATACACCGCAACATAGCAAAATAAAACAAATAAACAAAAACAGTAATGGAATTTGCAACTTTTCTTTTGGGTGCAAGTTTGTATACCTGGCACTGTGTAAGAGAAAGCAAACTAGTTTTTGATTTTTTTGTTTGAATTTTTGTATTATGAAATGGTGTTTAATGTTAGTATAAGAGCACACAGCAAATCAACAAATATCTCCTCTAAGTTGGCACCGTCCTAGCTTTTCTTGCCACAATCCGCAAACTCACATCTAACGCATCCGACTAAAACCATGCTGCCGAGTTCACGCTCTTCCCATATGATGTAGCACCGGCTGCTTATATGAATATCTAATCCATAATGTTAGAGTTAACAAAGCATTGTGAGAAAGTGGCGACATAGTCACCGTAATTCTAACAATATATCTATGATATTATCATAATGTTATACGTATAACAGCTATTGTGTTAGTACTTGTTATATACAATCTAATGTGTAAGGCATAGCAATGTATTAGTATATCCATTACGTCACAATATAAAAGACAATTGTTAGTAGTTTCACACAACAGATTTTGTTAGGGGTGCAGTTACATACCAGTATTACGGACAATAGAAACAAAAATAATACATTGCACTCTCCTCGCCAAAGCCTCTCTCCCCTTCCTGTCCAATATAAAAAACAAGGTATATTTTTGACAACAGCGAGGCTTTGGCGTGGTTGATTCTCACTCCACTGACACTCTCTGAGTGAATAAAGAGAACATAAATTGGCATTTTTTTAAAGCACTCAGAAAGAGGTCTCTAAATGGAGATTATTGATTTGCAGTGCAATGATTAATGTCTTCAACAGATTAACAATATTAGAGTGTGTCCCGCAAACGACCGATGACTAAAGACTCGTTCACAACCGCGGTTAACTGCTACCAAAAACGGCCAGTCTGACGTCATAAGCAGAACAGTACCCTATTTAGTGACTCCCATCGTGTTCTAGACCTTTGGATTTCAAATTGGCGTCAGTCACACCGAATGTGTTTCTGGTTTTTGTTAGTGAAGGTCTGAATGGGTCTTTAGTCACTCGGAAGGCAAAGTGTTTAAACTAGTTACTGAAAATAGAGTCGTCGTATTTCTATATAATAATAATAGTAATAAACGAATTGAAAGATACTCTTTGTACTGCGATCATTGAAAACTTCAGAATGCAAGTTAATCAAAGATATTTAAAAACCTGTCAGACTGAAACCTTATAGCAATACATACCAGAAATAGCAAATAAGACATAAAACTAATCCATGCTGTGATAAAAACAATCTCATGACGTCACACTTTTCATAACGTAGTTAATGTGATGTCACTCTGACGTCACAATGTGACCTGAATTCCGTGGCAAACAGAGGGAGAACTGGAGGGTCAGGTATTAGATACATATAGAAATTATGAACTAGAACTTTTAAAGAGTGAAATTGGCAACAAATAAGGCAAGGAAGTGAGACTGTTTGCAACTTTTTAGGGTAACATAAAAAAGGTGACTTCGTACTGGTTAAGGTATTAAGAGCATGTTCCCATATGGTATTGATAAAAGAATATTAAAAAACGTGGAAAGCACGCGCGTGCTTTGAAGATTTTTAGGTAAACTTTTGTACAAATATATGTGTACCTACCTATTCGGTTCATCTTTGATTCCAGACCCCCTCCTATGTGGCCCTGTTTAATAGCATTCATGCGTCTGTGGGGGCCACCATGAGGCCCACCTCCCCCTCCTCCCATGTTGCGATTCGGGGGCATCTTGGGTCGTACCGCCTCTACCGGCAAAATCCGCCTTCGCTTCTTGGGCAGTTTGGATCTCGCTTGCGTGTGAGAGTAAAACATTGAGAAGTTCCCCACAATAATGGGCACGGGTAGGGCAATGGTGAGCACACCAGTAATGGCGCAGAGAGAACCCACCACCATGCCCATGTACGTTTTAGGGACCATGTCACCGTAACCGATTGTTGTCATGGTAACGATAGCCCACCAGAGTCCCAACGGGATGCTCTCAAAGTCGTTATTTGGATTATATTGGATACGCTCCGCGTAGAAAATGAGTGCGGCGAACATGACAATACCGAGAAGCAAGAAGAATATGAGTAAACTGAGCTCCTTAGCGCTCGCTTTAAAGGTGTGGATGAGGATCTTGAGTCCCGTGGAGTGCCGCGTGAGCTTCACCAGACGCAGAATACGGATGATGCTGAAGAATTCAAGAATGTCACTCTTAGATTCCTTGTTAATGCGCGACAACATAAAGTCCATGTAAAAGGACAGGGTGGCCACGAAGTCTATAATATTCACAGGCTGTTTAACGAACTGGAACTTGCTCGGTGAGACGATAAAGCGGATGATGATTTCGAAGGTGAACCAGGCGTTACACATGCATTCGATGTAGAAAAAAGCCGGGTGGGGGTCGGAGCCTTGCTTCTCCAGCAGCCACGAGTCGTTGGCCGTGTGGACGCTGACAGTTCTGTTCACAATCAAAGGGACTCGCATCTCTGGGTGGGTCTTCAGACAGAAGGACAAGATGGACACTACGATGAAGAACACGGACACGATGCTCAGAACCTAGAAAAATGGAGGACATTGTGATAAATGTGACTAATACAGCTAGTATACATGTAATGTGTTAAATATAAGGTCCTATAGGACGCACTATGGAAGTAGGCCTAAAATCGTGTAGGGTCCATGTGTTCTAGATGTATTGTTTTTTTTTCTTTACATTGTAGTCTTGAAAGTTGAAGATTAAGCGATGGTGGAGTCGGCAAGTACATTATAACCAGTTCAAATACTCTAGGGTTTATCAGAATTCATCTGAAGCAAGATATATGTGTTTTTCTCTATCACCATTTGTATTATGCTAATAATGCAGACGCACTTAAAAGCGATAAAATGTGTATCTTTTTCAAGATTCTAATGCATCATCTCTAATAACCATCGGCGAAGAGGAAGAAAGCGTGACAAGATACCACGATGCAAGGCAACGACCTCTATTGTAGCCGTACAAAATCATTACGAACAAATGAACGAAGCTATGCTCTGGAACACAAGATAGTAGTGCACTTGACGCTCAGCTTTCTACTTGTCCCAAACTAGATCAGTACAATCCCGCCTACTTTGTTACGATTCGGTGCATAAATCGATGGCAAAAGATTGTCTGTGTATGGAAATTTGCGTCAATGCTGATGTACGTACATGTAGACTACTTGAAGCGATGTCTGTAGTCTGGTTGCACCATTCCTGTTGTGTTAGGTGAGACAATAAAAATGCGATTGTCGTGTGACACTGTGTGAAAGGAATGGTACACACACTGGACAATAGAAGTATCACTCCCTGAATCAGAGTAATCAAAGTTATTATGCCTGGTCTACTTATAATGTGACTAATGAGTATAAAGCCGCTTCACCCTGGAATTGTATTGTCGGTCTTTTTGTGAAATTTGATGTTAATAAATGACACCAGGAGCATATCATTCCACAGTCATTTATCTCCCCCAAAGTATTGGTTCAGTAGGGGTGACACTTCTATTGTCCAGTGTGTGTAGTCCTAGGAAGGAAAGTTAGGGGTCTAATATGATTAGCACAGGATAGGGTTAGTTGGAGTATTGGGGATAGTAAATGGGACGGATGTCACCTGTTCAAAGTATTGGCAAACGGACTACAGTTCCTAGCGGACTTCCATTCCTGTAATACCGGGGTAGGATAGTTCCTAAAGGATCACCATTCCTGTAATACCGGGATAGGATGGTTCCTAAAGGATCACCATTCCTGTAATACTGGGATAGGATAGTTCCTAAAGAATCACCATTCCTAAAATACTGGGATAGGATAGTTCCTAAAAGAACACCATTCCTATAATACTGGGATAGGATAGTTCCTAAAGGATCACCATTCCTGTAATACTGGGATAGGATAGTTCCTAAAGAATCACCATTCCTGTAATACTGGGATAGGATAGTTCCTAAAGGATCACCATTCCTGTAATACCGGGATAGGATGGTTCCTAAAGGATCACCATTCCTATAATACTGGGATAGGATAGTTCCTAAAGGATCACCATTCCTGTAATACTGGGATAGGATAGTTCCTAAAGAATCACCATTCCTGTAATACTGGGATAGGACAGTTCCTAAAAGATCACCATTCCTATAATACCGGGATAGGATAGTTCCTAAAGAATCACCATTCCTGTCCGTTATCTGGCGGATATCAAGACACGCATACGCCTTCATTCAAACCTAAGGACATAGCCATTGTTTAAAAAATATAGATTAAATTCAAATTGAAATAAAACTTGAAGTACACGAGGCGATTTTGTCTTAGAATACAGATTTATTAGCACCATTTGACATATGCATGTCATTATAAAACTGTTTTAACAGCAGACATTGTAGAAAAATACGAATATCCAAGATCAAATCGCCTACTGATGACCAGAATATGATTCCGAGTGACTGCAACTTAATATTCAAATATATAAAATGAGTTCCTGTGTTTTCCTTTTATCCTTTCCATTTCTACACAGTACCTTCCTCCACAAATTCAAATAACCAAGAAACTTGAAACTTGAAGACAATTTTCGACATAATATTAGAACATTGGTTGAAAAACTACTATTTTTACCACCATAGGAAGTGATACACTCGTTTAACGACGTCTTTAATAAACGTAGGTCACTAACCAGTAAAGCACTGTATAACGCAGGCAATACCTTAAGTTTTAACTAAGGCCGTCAGTAAAGAACGAACTTTTCAGAAAAAAATAACTTTGATCCCAAAATTCTTCTAATCACTGTTAATGCCTTCTTACTATGGCAACCTCAATTAGATTTTGCTTCCATGGTTACCAAGGAGGTTTTATGACAGGCTTTCAGAAACTATTGATTAACTGAAGGTACATACCCGCGTAAAGTACGAGGGCCCGTAAGGTCTGTTGACTGCCTCAGTAAGCTACAGTGCATGGTGATACATATGCACGGTTGGTCCTATATAGATCACTTACATATGCGACATGTGTCTTGTACAGGTGAAGGATACTTCACGTATGTGTGGATTAGGGAAATACGCGGTCTGAATTTCAGCGGTTCTCTTACATGAAAAGTAATAAGAGTGCTGATTCATACAAAAAAAAAAAAGAAAAAAAAGAGAGAGAGAGATTGATTTCAATAGACAACTAAAGTGCCGGGTGACGAAACCCCCTGGGTTTGGACAATGGTTGTCGCCATATGCTTAGAAGTCACCATCGAAGTGGTGGTTTAACTCTTCAACTTATTCTTTACAATGTATAGCAACCGGCACTTAAAAATCAAAAACAGACAAATAAAATTGACCGACGGGCTGACAGACAAACAGACTGTCAAAAAATCAGACAGAAACAGAAAGACAATAATAGCAGAAAAGCACCAATGGAACACCATTCTTCAGACAGTTGTCACACCAAAGAAAACCCACAAAGACAGTAACGACCCATTATGTATCAATTTCAAACTTCCCCACCACGCCAAATTGATATAAAAGGCAGCAAATTGCGTCATTTCTGTCCACTCTATGCTTTTAAACAAATTAACTTATATCCCAGAATCTAACTGCAGCGTCTGTCGGATCCACGCGCAGCGGGAGTTTCCAGAAATTGCCAGAAATTGCTAATGGTTGGCCTCTTCGACCTTACTTACACTTAGATAAGTGCAAAAATCGATATTTGCCTCTAATTCACAAGGTGTGAGCCTAGAGTGCAGGATCCAACGTTTCAACAAGACAACGTGTGATGCTTTTTGACCAAGCGTGCGAAATCGACAACTCCTGCCGAGTGGCAAACGCAATTTGCCCTTTAGATTTTTGAACTTAATATAAAGAATGTAGGACGGTTTCACCTAAATTATTTAATCAGGAAATATTTGCGCGTTTGGTTTCCCTCGTTTATTGCGTTTGGGTAAGGGTTTAGACCGCAGGGATAAGCTAATGTTCCGCAATTCCATTTTCCTATGCGGCTGAACTTGGTTTCTTGTATTTGATTAATTTTTTAAAGATTTTGAATTAGTGTTAGAGAATGAAGTCGGGAGAGATGGATACTCTTTTTCAAACTTACGTAGCATGAATTTTTCATTTGAAATTCACATTCATTTTTTGAAATGTTTGTTTGTTTTACGAATCGTAAACAGTTGACATTCGAACCTGTCATCTAGTAAGTCAACTCAATGGACCAATCAAATGGTAATTAACAAAGATAGTCTATAATGAGGCCGTTGCCACCGCGTGGCCAGAAAATTGTGAAAATTTGCGTGAGGTATGTGTGACTAACCTTTGAGTTATAAAGGTGAAACTCATTTCCATGGGGATTTCTTCTTAGAAAGCAATACGAAAGTAACACACGAAAGATGTTGCGTACATGTGCATGTAATAGACGGTAATTCTACATTTCTTATAAGGGGACAACCTAAAAAATATCGGTTGATAAATTCTGTCACCTTTTATTCGCTGCCACACGTCACTTGTTTGTATGTAATAATTTCTGATCCCACTCTTTTCCGAAACTTCCAAATCTCGTTTTATTTTTCTAGCTAAATCGCTTGATGCCGGACTACATATATCTCAGATAATTCTACTTCAATATAGGGATTAAGCGGATTTCGTATAAACCTAGACTAATTTAGGAGACCTTTCCCATCGATGTGATGTAATATATAATCTTGTCTATCGCTAACGCCAGTAAAAGATACACCTCCAAGGTAAATCTGAAGTGACAGGTGGCCTGTTCCCAAGGCAACACAGACGCGCTATCTGATCACTGTAGTGCCAGACTGTTGGTAGCAGACATGCGTAGCGGACACGGAGCCAGCATATGAGACACCTCACTGCCTATCAGCAGATATTTCGAGCAGTTCCACACTTTAAACTGAGCAAGAGAACGATGCTGTACGACATCTATAGTTTAATGGTTGTGTTGGCATGCTATGCTCATGAATATTGTAAATTGAGCGAAACTGGGATAGGTAATAAAAGAAATAAACGAGTAAATAAAAAAGAGAGACAAAATGTTTAACTTGTCTAAGGGTATCAGCTTTGTTATCATAGGAAATCTCGGTAACGTCTTACTTTCCTATTGCTGGTAGAAGAACAGCCAGGTTCCCTTCGTTATATACTAGACCGAACCTAGTGTCATTGTAGTGCAATTGTTAAAACCTCTCAGGATCTATAGGTACGGCTGTATCGCTTATTTATACCGCTTGATTTGAAAACTTGCTTAGACAAGAGGTCTTTGCTGTACTAAACTGTCATAATATAATATAATATAATATAATATAATATAATATAATATAATATAATATAATATAATATAATATAATATATTCTTGACTACAGGGGAGTTGGTGATATTTGAAATATTATCGATCTACATCTGTTAACAGACATGCATTTATAGTACATTTTATAGCCACTGTCGGCTAATGAAACTCTGCGCTCCCTATACACCTGCCCGAGGAAAAACCTTCCCATTTCTCTCTCCTTTTACCGTGAACGTTGAGAGATTCAAATGCAATAAAAGCAACTATGACCTTTTCAAGCTAGGCCC